TTTAATTTTATATTTGAACAGATTTGTTACGTGACAGCATTAATTAAAGTTTCTTAAGGGTCAAGATCATTATCTGCATCTCCTGCGCTCCATCAAGCCACTCCCATAATAGCTGCCAACACTCAAATGAATGCACGACTCTACATTATCTGTATAGCATGTGTGTAAGACTCGAATACAATTATGAAGTAATAATTTTATTACGAATAAATCTTTCAGTGAGTAAAACTGGCTTTGTCTATAGTATTAAAGACTACACAACATTATTATATGATCTTTAAATAAATTTTTAAATGATTATTATTTTAAATTATTGTCCCTGGATTAGTAGGGTACTCTTGTAATAAAGTCGCGGTGGTAGCGGAAAGATTTTAAGTATCAATACTTAAAAAGATGCCATCTAATCCTGTTTACATGAAATAAGCCTGCTCCCGAGCAGTTGCTATGACAGCAACTCCAGGATGAGCTTCGAAGAACCAAACAATCCAAGATCATGCCAAATCATCAACAATCAAATCCAGCTAACTGAGTTAGCGACGTACGAAGAACGGGCCCCAGGTGTCTATTTCAAACTGCACCACCGTTCAAAAGTTTGGGTCCATATGTTTTTTACATTTTTTTTATTAATACTTTTATTCAGCAAGGATGGATTAAAATGATCAAAAGTGACAGCTAAGACATTTATAATGCTACAAAAGATTTCTATTTCAAATAAATGTTCTTTTGAACTTTCTATTCATCAAAGTATTCTAGATTCCACAAAAATATGAAGCAGCACAACTGCTTTTGGCAATGATAATAATAATAAATGTTTCTTGAGCACCAAATCAGCATATTAGAATAATTTCTAAAGCATCACCTGACAATGAAGACTGAAGTAATGGCTGCTGAAAATTCAGCTTTGCCATAGCATGAATAAATTACATTTTAAAATATAGACAACGCTTGTTATAAATTGTTATAATATTTCAATTTTGTAACTGTATTTTTAACCAAATAAATGCATAATGCAAGCCTTGGTGAACATAAGAGACTAATTAAAAAAAAAACATTTTTTTTAAATCCTACCGACCCTAAACATTTGAATAACAGTGTCTATAACTAAACATTTACTAATAATCCATTAAGCATCCAGTAACATTACAGAGGTGTTAAGAGTACAATTCTAGTTCTTAATATTAGTCTGTAATAGTCAATGCGTCTTAAACCTGTGTTCTTCTGACTTCCTGGAAGTCCTGTAGTCTTGCTGCCTGGTGTTTGTCCTTGTCCCAGGCCAGAAGGGAGTCCTGGACGTGGATACTGCTGAGAACTCATCTTCACGACCTCTCACGTTCTTCCTGAAGAATCAGAGGATAAAAAGGACACAATGCAGCGTTCAACGGAGAAAATGTGTTTAATTCAAACAAAGGACTAGATCACATTGTCTGCAGGTTATTACTAGATATCTGAAAAGCTCACATTAGAGACATGGTGTACCATACCTTATGCTGAACAAAACCAGTCAATATTTTGTGTTCAGGCGGTTCTCTTTCATGCAGTTTAATGTTATAATCTCCAAAACAAGAACTATTAAGCTGAATAAACCACAAAACATCCCTAATGGAAGGTGTATTTCTCAAATATAAAGTAGCAATGCCCTTCTCGCAACAGTGTCATGTCAGTGAAATACGCTTACTAGAGTTAGACAACCTTCAACTTAACGACAAATGCGAAATCAACACCACCTGATAGCAAAGTAAGCGCATTTAATCTGGCTGCATTATTTCTGAACGCTGGTGAATGTTACATGGACGATTGTCAGGACACCAGAACGGGCAGCTTTTGTTCCTGGGTGGGCTCGTGAGTTTACTATTCATCTTGTAGATGTTAAAACACATATGTAGTCTAATTTAAAATGCAAATCAGTTCATAACCATATAACCCGTATTTTAAATAACAAAGAATGAGTTTTAGAAATCAAAACAGTCGCGGCTGTTAGTCGCCCAAAGATCTTACGAGTCATTTCAACGAGACATGATCATTTCTCTCAGATACACATTAACAACGGTCGTAATTCTGCAACTGTATGAATGTGAACGCGACGAAAACGTTACTCTAGCAGCATTATTGTGTTTACAAATGAAAAATCGCAGATTTACCGTAAACACGACGCCTGCACTCTCCATCCGTTTCGTATCCCGGCAAATCGACCATTGGCATCAATGGGAATAAAGCCGCAGTAAGCCACTTCCGGTCTTGAATTTCAAAACAAAAGTCGTCGAATCCGGATTCCACTTCATTGGAGTCAAGTGAGCAGCAGGGACTGGCGCTCTCTCTGGCAGCGGCAGGTCGCAGCGCCACTTCCGGTGGCATCCCTAGAGTTCGTGGCAGCTGCCACTAGTCGTTTCTGGCAGCTGCCACGGTCTTTCTCGCCGTTTCTGCTGTTTGCTCGGTAAAACTACACTGTTCTCAGTAGCGTGCGGTGGTGGTGTTTTTAAAATGATGATGCAAAGTTCCCACAATTGTACAATTATTATTATTATACATTTGTATGTATCAGTTGCCAGAGTTCTTGCCAGAAGTCAAAGGCAGCTGCCACGGTCTTTCTCGCCGTTTCTGCTGTTTGCTCGGTAAAACTACACTGTACTCAGTGGCGTGCCGCGT